TGTAATTTTTTTTTTTGTGATATAGTATTAAACTCAAAAGCCACAAAAATTACTGCAACGTCGCGGATACGTATTTCGGAAACAATATTATCATTATCAACGCTAAACACAAACTGACAGTTTTTAAATTCATAATATTTTTAATAATGTTTAATTTTACTTAACGTGTTATATATACTTTAAATATTATATTTATCAAAACAATAAAAGTAATTTTTTAGAACTTATTTTTCATAATATGATTAATGATTAAAAAAAAACATTCCCTTTTTATGTTTAAAACATAACTTCCTAAAATTATCATTGAACTATCATAATTTTTTGTATGAAAAGAGTTTAAAATTTGTCTATTTATTGTGGCTGGTTATAAAATAACACATTTTAACGAACTTGAATGATTCAGGAAATCGATTTTTTCCACTTTTGTATTATTCTCCATTCCAATATATTTTAAATATTCAATAGATCAAATAAAATTGACATCCAAAATTATAATCAAACGATTTTAAATGTAAAAAAAACATTTCCTTAAAAATTTAATTATAATTTTATATTACTTATATCCTTGAATAGTGAAATAGCTACTCCTGTAAACTATTCTACTAGGAAAGGAACTAATTTTAAAATTTTGCATTTAGTATATGAGCGGTTACCACCAAGATGGGCGAGAAGCGCGTTGTATTAAGTTTCGTAGTTGAATAATAGATGACGATCATCAGTCAAAGAATTACATAATGATACCATGTAGTCATGGTTGGTATTGTGAAAATTGCCTTAAGGAAGATAAGTGTTCAATATGTTCCAAGAAAAAAAAAAAATTATGTGTAAAATTGAAAAAACAATATTTATATTAGCAACACGTGAATATAATTTTGTTATTAATTCGTACGAGAGACAAAATTTTAACCTAATTTTATATATTATTATATGTACACTCATGTCGATCAGCAGTATTAACAGACCGATGCTACCAAACATACTGATATGATAAGGGGAGGTGAATGAACGAGACCAAGTAAATGCGCACTATCTAATAGTTTACGTGTAGCAAGTACAATTTGCTTTTATCTTTCAATTATTTCTATTAAGAAAATACATATTTTTGCACATATAAATGACTAATAAATTATATTTTAAATTACTATTGTTCATATATTAATTTAGTACATATAAAAAGTTTATTTTTAATCTGGTATTTTAAATACTCTTGTGACTACTACATATAAATAGTGTTATTATAATTATACTTGTATTCCAACATTTTTTAGTTAGCTTATAATTTATTCCAAAACTGTTTAATTTTAATTGATAAAATATTGTGAAATTTAAAAATTGTTGAATATTCTCTTAAAATAATATTATGTTACTCAATAAATGGAAATTAATCATAATTTTTATTCAAACAATCAACCAATCGATTTGTGTTGATCTAAATAATATTACAGAAAATGACGTAGATAAACTTCAAATGGAATACCGCAATATGAATCATGTCATTCTTGTAGAACATCCTTATTATATAAAATCACACGATGGGGAAAATTTTTGTCCAGTACCTTACAGTCACCCAGTAGATTATACTGAAGTTCCTTATGAAGGTATAGAAATAATAGATAAAAGTTTGAAGGATGTGGTTTCTAACTGTGTGGCAGAAAAAAAATATAAATTGGCTTATACGATTTTTATGAACGCTATTGAAAGTATGGCCTATACATATATGTATCGATTCTGCGAATTTGCAAGAGCAATGAATAAAAGAGGTGCTGAAATATCATTTTACTTAAAATTATTTAGTGATGAACTTACTGAACTTATACCAATAATTAATAGAGAATGGATTTCTCCTGAACCGTATGAATGTATTTTAGATGTTTACAAAAAATACGAAAAAAAAAATAACAAATACAAATTTAAAAGAAAAAACGAAAATTACAGAAATGATTTATTAAACTGCATGAAATTAATAAAAGATAAATTAAACTTTTTAAAAGAACCTCATGAAATATCAATGAAGTACATGTCTACACGCCAATTAAAAAACTACCATGATTTAAATAATCAAGTTATTAGAGATCACTTAACTTTAGAACAATTTGCTTTAGGTTACAAAGATATAACTGGAGATAAATGTAAGAAGGAAGTTTTGTTTTTATATCGTTTTATTAAATTACATAATTTTTATGAATTTTAAAATTAATTTTATAATTTATGAAATATTTTTCTGATTAAATTTGTAATTTAATTTCAAGATAATGGAATTAATGGCTAATATTTTAAATATAGTTTTCAAAAATCTCAAATTATACTATAAGTATATATTTGGTAAATAACAGAACTTGTTAAAAAAATACTCTTCTGATTTGCCGGCTATAGAATTTAATGGGTTTTAAATGCTTTAAAAAAATAATTAAAATGCTATTCAACTATAAAATTTGCAAATTTTAATACAATTATAATAATTTATCATTTTTATCGATTTTTGCATTAGATCAAAGCTATTGTACAAGATGCAAGAGAGAACACATAGGTACGACTTATGAAATTTACATTTTTGCACAATGTGGACATGGCTGGTGCTGTGAATGGTGTAGTCGACAATTGACTGAGTGTCCTGTATGTCATCAAGACATTAAAAGTTTTCAAGAACTAAATATACGAACATCTGTGTCAATAGTTACTGAAAGTATATAAATTATAATTACTTACTGAAACATTAATGAAATAAAATAATAAAAGCGTTTCTTTATATTGGCATTTATGTTTGGTAAATTAGCTTGAGTGGTCAAAGAACTTTTTAGCTTCGATGCGAAGCTGAGAAGGTATTGGTTTTACTAAGATGTGTTTTTTATTTTTGTGTCTGTTATCACTTTTTCTCAGCTCTCACCAAACCGATTTCTTTCAACAATACGTCAAAAGATCACAAATCGTATCTAGTTAATGGCATAACCCTCAAAATTTGAAAAAAATTCCCTCGTTCCCCGTAAATAGAGGAATCCTCCAAAAAAATTACAAATTTTAAAATCGCTAATATTCAAAATATTTTCAATTTTTTTAAATTAAAATTGCTATTATATTTTAAAAAATAACCAAATTAATACAATATTTTTTTAAATATATGTTAGATATTATTACCTTTCATGCAGTATATTTTTTTTTTATATTTGACCCTAAACCTGCCCACGGTGTCATTCAAAATTACAACTTTTTCACAAAAAAAGTAACTTTTTCAACTTAACTTTTGAAAATGTTCCGGAAGGTCTGACACTTTTATATATATCTTAAATTAAAGCTAATGTAATGTTCTTTAATATGCAAAAAAAAAATTCGGACTTCATTTTATCTTCACGGTGAAATTGGCTACCGAATGCTTTTTTTGTGTGAAAATTTTCGATTTTGTATTTTACATTTTTAACTTTATTATACTATAACTTTTTGAAAAATGTATGGATCAATACAATTTTTTTATGAGAAATAATAGTTTTTAATAATTCCTTTTTCTTTCGACAGGATATTAATAAGGAACTAGCAGTTTATGTAGCTTTTGAAGTTATATACCAATTTTTTAAACCTAAAGATTTGCATCAAAGCGTTTTTTTTTTATAGTAATTTAAATCACTGTCAGATATCATTATACTTGATCCAACTATGCCACGATCCCACTGTGCTGGTTTTTTTTTTGTTTATCACACAGTATTACTAACGTCAAAGTTAAATACATTGAATCATAATAATTAGTAAATTGGGAGTTATAAAAAGCCACCTCCCTATTGGATACGCCACTAAAATTATATATCCATCCAAAAATAACATGTTTTTTTTTTAGAAATTCATTATCATACTGAATGATATATTTACTATATTATTTAGGAAATATTTATGTAAATATCTTGAATATTATAAAAATTTTAAATAGTGGTTATAACATTTCTGCAAGATCGATGTGTTATTTTTGCTTTAAAATTTGATGTCTTTATCATATTAAGAGTACAAAGGTAAAATTCAATAATAAAATTGACATTGTGAAAACTGTTTTTTTCATAACTGTATATGAAATGTGTCAGTCAAGATGATATGACAAATCTAATATCTATTTTGTTAAACAATTTTTTCTTATAACAATTTTTACCATTTAGTTTTTATGTTCAAAACATATTTGAAACTATTTATTCCTAAAATTATCATAGAACTATCATTATTTTTTATCTAATGTGATTACTTCATGTGATACGTTTTCTGTTGTGATAAATAAATAAAAAAAGTAATACTTATATTATATTTTTAATAGATTCGTGTTACGTACACTTAAAATATTATAATTATCAAAACAAAAAAAAATTTTTTTTTTTAACTCTTTTATTATTCTTAACACGATTAATGATGTGCAAAAAATTTGTCCGTTAAAATTTAATCATCATTTTATATTACTTAATATCCCTGAGTGAAAAGTAAAATAGCTGCTCACTCTTCTAAACTTTCGTACTAAAAAACGAACTAATTTTTAATATTTGCAATTAGAGTATTGGAACTTACAGACGAGATGTGCCATAGATAGACGAAAAGTGCGTTGTGTAAGATGTCGTAGTCATATTATAGATGATGATGATCATTCAAACAGACACATAATGATACCATGTGGTCATGGTTGGTATTGTAGTAAATGCATTAAGGAAAAAAAGTGTTCATTATGTCCCAGGGAAATAACAGATAAATTGTGTGTAAATTTGAAAAAAAAAAATGAAGAAATCTATTAATGTTATTTCTTTAATTAATATTGCTTTGATTTGTACAAAATTACATTTTTCAATAATGCAGTTCAAAATTAAACATTACGAAAACATGATTAAATTATTAAAAAATTTATTGATACTATATGCTTGCTACTG